CTCTCCCATTTCAGAATTTGGTTTTATGGCCTCACAAGATGATAAGTTAACGGCAGAAGACTTGACACCAGCTTGGACTCGAAAGTGGACCTCACCCTACGGCTGCGTTCATACTTTCGTTGGGGTTTTGAGCGTTTCGAGCGTTTGGGCAGCAGGGAAAATGTACACATCGATCGAGTGTTTTGAATTGGAAAGCGCAGGCGTTTAGCTCAAAACGCTCAGTCACATTCAAAACGCTAGATCAATACCTTCACAGGGTGGCGAACAATTAAAATTACGTGCGCCATGAAAACGCTACAACTCAAATTTTTGCCCATGCGCTTTTGAAGAAAATTACTTTCTATGAAAGTGAACCAGGGCATTCATTATAGAGAACTTCCGAGGTTACCTGCACCACTTTTGATACAGACCTCAACTCGTTACTTCATTTAGCCAACAGTGCGGCCGAGCCCCCAAACTGAACCCCTAAACCCTGAATTCATCTTTACTTTCAAAGCTTGTTTGTTTCACGGACTATAGATGAAAGCCTAAAGGATTCAGGATGTTGGAGTTGTTGGAAGGTTCTCGGTCGGAAAGGAATCAAATTGAAGGTCGAAGAGGAACTGCGTTGTTATTTCGAACTTGTGGATTGAAACACAGTCCTGCTAGTAGAGAGGCTAGGATTGGTTCGGAATTAGATATTTTAAGATAAGATTTTAATCAGATATTAATGACAGTACGCATAAAGGCTTTTTATAGTGTTCAAGATGGAATTATGGACCTTGTGCACGCAAGTTCTCGTCACCCTAAGCTTCCCTTCTCCCTGAAAACATTCAAAACGTCGACAAAACAGTATAAAAGCAGCCTAATAGGGGTGGTGTTCTAACTGTATGGTAACAATCGCGGCATTAAGCTGAAGCAGAACTCAGACACGTGACAATGTAGATTGGAGAGGTTTTCGGAGTATTATAGCATAATAGTCCACCTAAGGGCCATGACTAGATAGCAAGATGGATCTCAGAATCCAAAGAAAAAAGAAATAGCTGTAGAAATTACTTACACCAAGACCTAAGAAGCAAATTTTAATGGAAGCTTCTAAAATACCTTGTATTTTCCGTCTTCAACCATAAGAATGAACGTGTGTGTGAAGGCGTGTACTGTGCCACCCAATGTGACCGTACCGGCAGTCGTAACCGTAAGTAAATCCGGAGAGCCTGGAAGTCCTGCATTCACTCGTTGGACATCCACAGAGGTCAAATGGTGATCAGTCTCCGGCAACGATGATATGAACCTGAAGGAGATCCCTTCATTACTGCTTATATTAGAGTGCGGTCATATTTGCGGCAGCGTTTTGAGCGTCTGCCAGAGTATTGAGCGTTCACCAGCGTTTTCAGCGTCTGCTTCTCTCAAAACGCTGCCCCGTATAGACGCAATGAACGCACTCCACAAGTAATGATCACAAAAGAGAATCCTAAGACTAAAAATATGTTAACAGTTAGCATACTTGAATATATTATCGCATCCTGATACAGGGTTTCCGTTCCAAACCAACGTTGATCCGCTTTCACAATAAAGGTAATTGATTTTGTCACGTTTTCGATCCATAGCGTCGTAGAATATTTTGGTAAAACTGGACGCTTCTTTACAGATCTCCTCGTCTAGACGATCTGCTTCGGTTGCCATCTTCTGATCTGAAATTCGTTGGAGATGATCACTTTTCCCATTCATTCCCACGAAGAAAAAGTAGTGAGAAGAAATTGTAGATGGGAAAGTACCAAACAATTACAAACAACACAAAACAAAACAACTTGAGAAACACGGGTTCCTGAACAAATTGAGGGTAAACAGATAGGAAAAATATAACCAGCTTGTCAGGAAACAATAAGGAGGAATCGACCATTGACACTAGAAAGACAGATTCTTCAGAAGGGAGGAACTTTTTCAGGACCTCACAGAAAGCATCCGAGAAAGATGGAAATGCGGTTACTCCAACGAGTTACGAAAACGCCAACAACTCGTCGGCAACGGCGCCCCAATCGACCTGTTGCGTGGCGATCAACGTGGGGACATGGGTCGTGTGAAATTCAGACCACCCACTGGGAATATGAACTATTGGTGACAAGGCGTAGCGCATTTCCAAAGCAACCAAGGCTAAGGCCGCGTTCATACCGTGCGACGTCGTCGTCAACGTCGACGAAAGCTGCGTAAGCTGCGTAAGTTGCGTAAGCTGCGACTGGTTCGTGAATAATACATACGTATCGATCCAACGAAAGCTGCGTAAGTTGCGTAAGTTGCGTAAGCTGCGTAACCGACGACAGCTTCACGCAGACTGGATACATATCGATTTGACGGAAAAGCTGCGTAAGTTGCGTAAGCTGCGTAAGTTGCGTAAGCTGCGTAAGTTGCGTAAGCTGCGTAAGTTGCGTGCAGACGTGGCGCCACGTGGCACCACGAGTGCCTTGATAACATGAGGTTCACAGTGAGAGCAGAGATGTTCCTAATAATCTTGGTTTATTCTTTTCTTCTTTCTTTCTCAAAATCGCCGAACTCTCTTCATTTTTGTTCTTACTTTCTTCCTCGAAATTGCCGTAGTTACTTCCCTATCAATTTGCTGTGTCATTCGTATATACAAGAGGGGGGGGGAGCAAAAAAAAAGACATTTCGACCGAGCCACATATTTGTACACCGAAATATGAAGCCTTCTCCAATCGTAGCCGGGGAGGAGAAGGCCCATGGGGTTCAGTTACATCCACACTGCTCCGAAGCTTCTCATCAGTTGCCTGGTATGGACGGAGTCCAATAGCGTGCCCTACAAGGCGGAAAAATCAAGGACCTACCCCGTGCAAAATCACGTGGCGTGGCAGAATCTCTCGGTGGTGCTCGTCCAGATGGCTGTGGCGGGGCATCGTGATAGTATACAATATGCTGTTGAATATAGTGGTAGAAATGGCACACAGGAAATAGGAGAGCCAGCCGTCAGCCGGGCGATCCGACTGGTATATAAACCATGGACTGACATGAAAAAGAACAAGAATTTTCAAGACACAACTTTATCACCTTTCAACAAAATTATTAACAATCGTAAACAATGAAACTTAACATCAACACATTTTCTTACTGGAAAGAAAGACTGATAAGATGATGATGATGTGCACCGCGAATGAAAAAAAGTAGAAAATTCCGAGGGCAGAGTCCCGGTGGTGGCCGCAATGGCCATGCAGCCGGGAGCTCCCTCTGCTCCATCATCGACGGGACGAAGACGCCGCCGCCCGCAGCGCGGTAAAGCGCTGTGGGCGGCAGTGCGGAACCTGCGACGAGACATGAAGATATACCGCCCACGCACAAGAAGCCGCTCAAGAAGCCGTACAAGAAGCCGCACGAGACGCCGCAGAAGCCGCTCAAGAAGCCGCTCAAGAAGCCGCACAAGAAGCCGCACGAGACGCCGAGAAGCCAGAGCCAACAGCGGCCCAGAGGGCCGCGAAGTCGTAGTAGGGCCTCGCGGCCCCCGTCGTCGTCCCCGGTGCACGGGGACGGCGGCCATGAGGAGATCTAGTTTTGAATAAAGGATTGAATTGATACAGTGTTGAATCGTATAAAGAGTTAACATGCGAGTAGGGCCGCCCCCTCAGGGACTTGGAGTGACCGAATGGTCACTAGGGGGAGGTGTAGGGGAGCGGTGTGGTATGTGCGAATGGAATGGAGAGAGTGAGAATGATAGGAAGAAGAGAGGATCGATAGTGATTGAGGAATGCATAAAAGGGGATTGTGTCCGGTTCAATAAATCATTCCTCTCCCAGTGTGGTCGTCGCATCGCAACTGGCGATCAGGCGATCCGAAGAAGAAGAAGAAGAAGGCCGACGACGATCAAGCGAAGACCGGCGATAGAAGAAGAGTGAAGACAACGGTCAAGAACTACGAAGAACATCGACGATGACGACGGAAGTCAAGGCCGAAGTGGGGAACAGCGCCATCGGGAGGCCCCCGACGTCCGATGCCGGGACAGATGTCTATCGGGGTCGGTCCCCGGGACCATATGTTCCCGGGACGTCGTGGAGAACCTGGTGGAAGCTGTTTTCGAACTTCCTCGTACTGAGGAAGGTCACAGAAGAAAGGGAGCAGCGGCTGGTTTTCTTGCAGGAGGTAGGCAACTCGAACTATGAGTTGCTGGAGTCCCTCCTGCAAGGACGTGAATTGGAAGAAGTAGAATTGAAGGAGCTTCGACAGGCGATGGAACGCCATTACCAACCGAAGAAGCTGGTTTTGGCAGAGCGCTTCGGCCTCATGTCGAAGGTCCAGAAGCCAGGACAAGCCCTGCACGAATACTACGCGGAGCTGCAGAAAGCGGCAAACACGTGTAGTTTCGAAGAAATCAAGAATCATCGTGATGCGGTAGTCACGATGGTCTTCATTGGGGGACTACTTTCAGTGGATACAAGGAAGCGACTGCTGGAAAAGGAGGACCTGACGTCGAAAGAAGCCCTGGAACAAGCAGAAGCGTTTGAGCGTGTTGGAGTAAACGCTCCGCATTTGAAGGAAGGTCCCCAAGCAGTAGGGATAGCTGAGGTAAGAATGCGTAACCGGCAACCGGCTCGGCGCACGCAAACAGTCGATCAAAAGGGGAAATCGAGCAAGGGCCCAGCTCGAAGGGATTTGAGATGTAGGGTTTGCGGGGCGCTAGGTCATGCCGGTTACGAGTGTTTCAGGAAACAAAGTGCATACTGCAAAGTATGCAAGAAGAAAGGCCACCTACCAACGACGTGTTGGAAGAGCGCAAGGGTAGGCCGCAAAGTCTCCCGCCAGGTCCATTGGTGTGAGGAGCCCGCCGGAAGCTCCGACAGTGGTGAAGAGATGGTAAGGCAAGGCGTGAACACAGTAGTAGTATCACGCATACCCCACTGTCGTAGAGCTGAGTTCAGGAGGCCGGCGCGGTTGAGCAGGGCAAAGTACTGCCAAAGGAGAGAAGATGGCAGTTTCCTGGAAGATAATGGAACTTACCAGAGAGTGGCGGCGAGTACTTCCGGCAGCAGCCGAGAGAGGTCGGCCGCCAGTAGCATCATGGTCAATAGAAATGAGGAAGGCCATGATAAGGAAGGGAGTGATAACAGCGCGGTCAATGTTGACGGTGGAGTAGACCGGTCGCCGGTCGAACCACCGGTAATGCTGGAGATGAAAGTGAATGGGAAGAAGATCCCATTCGAGTTGGATACGGGCGCATCACTCTCTATTATAGATGAGAGGACGTGGTATAGTTTAGGCCGGCCGCAGTTAAGTAAAGCGGAGGTTGCGGCCACGGCCTTTGATAATAATCGGATTAAGTTTCAAGGGAAGGTTCCAATCCACGTCGAGTTCGCCGGAAATGAGGCGACGGTTGATGTACATGTCTTAAGGAGGCGAGTCACTCCTTATGTGGAAGAGACATGATCAGGAAACTTCGAATAGATTGTGGACCACATTATGGGAAGGTTCACGAGGTAAAACGGATGCCCCAAGTAGAAATCAAAAGAGAAATAGTGCGTATACTGGGTAAAAACAAAAGGTTGTTCCAAGAAGGTATTGGCAGATGTACAACTGCCCGAGCAGAGCTCAAGTTCAAGAGCGAAGTGGTAACGCCTAAGTTTTTTAGAGCTAGGCCAGTGCCTATCGCCTTGAGGCCAAAGGTAGAGGCGAAGTTGGAAGAGATGGTGCGAAATGGTATAATAAGAAGAGTGGAGCATAGCAAATGGGCAACGCCGTTAGTAGTTGTGCCCAAACCTGGTGGAAAAATAAGAATCTGTGGCGATTATAAAGTCACAGTGAACCCGCAATTAGATATTAATCAGTATCCCTTGCCCAAGCCAGATGATTTGTTTCACATGCTGCATGGTGGCAAAAAGTTCTCGAAGGTGGATTTGTCAGATGCGTATATGCAGGTGGAGCTGGAAGAAGGCTCAAGGAATTATACTACAATTAATACGCATAAGGGATTGTTCGAGTATACGCGGATCCCGTTTGGTATCGCGTCAGCGCCAGCAATCTTCCAGCGAATAATGGAAGAGACGCTGGTGGGAATAGAGGGAGTACTGATCTATCTGGACGACATCACGATTACAGGTCCAGATGATGAAACGCACTTAGAGAAGACTTGAAAAAGTCCTAGAATAGATTAAATGAGGCAGGATTTCGCCTCAAGAGAGAAAAATGCGAATTTTTCAAAGAGGAGATGGAATTTTTGGGCCATGTGGTCGATGAAAAGGGCATCAGACCATCTCCAAATAAGCTGAAGGCAATATTAAACATGCCAGAGCCTAGGAATTTGAAAGAATTGGAATCTTACCTAGGCATGATACAATATTACGGGAAATTTATCCCAAGACTGGCTACTTTAGCAGCACCTTTAAATGGTCTGCGGAGAAAAAATGCACCGTGGAAGTGGGGTGCACAGGAGAAAGCAGCCTTCAGTCAGATACGTGAAAAGTTAACGGCAGCAGATACGCTAGCACATTATAATCCAGATATCCCGGTAGTATTAGCTACCGACGCTTCAGAATATGGTATTGGTGCAGTATTATACCATAGGTACGAAGATGGTACCGAAAAAGTTATTGCGTACGCATCGCGCTCTTTGACGAAACAGGAGCGCAATTACGCCCAAATAGAAAAAGAGGCGTTGGGCATAGTATACGGTGTTGAGAAATTCAATCAGTTTCTTTATGGTCGCCGTTTCACCCTCTTAACGGATCATCAGCCGTTAGTGAGGATTTTTGGTCCCAAACAGGGGCTGCCGGTAATAGCAGCAAAGAGGCTGCATAGATGGGCGTTGAGGCTCATGTTGTACTCTTTCGAAATAGAGTATAGGAAGACTACTGATTTTGGTAATGCAGACGGTTTGTCAAGATTACCTGATCCAAGAGAGCTGCCCAGCTCTGAAATGGTAGTAAATGAATTGCAGGTGCAGCAAATGGCAGAAGAAGCGATGGAAAATCTGCCTGTAGTAGAGGAGGAAATAGCTAAGGCCACGAGAGAAGACCCTCTGCTGCAGACTGTAGTTAATTATATGCAGAAGGGTTGGCCAATGAAGGTAAAAGATGATAAGCTAAAGCCGTACGCGGTCAAGAAGACGGCTTTGTCATTACATAATGGGTGCTTATTATGGGGGAATAGGGTGGTTATTCCCAAGAAGTTCCAGCCAGTAGTGTAAAAATGCTGCATAATAGCCACTATGGGAAGAATAGGATGATTAGCCTGGCACGAACCAAGATATGGTTCCCAGGGATGGATAGGGCGGTGGAGGAAATGGCAAAGAAATGCAGCACATGTGCAGTGATGGGTAGAGATCCGGTGAAGGTACCTCTACACCCGTGGGAGGAGCCGAAAGAAGTCTGGCAAAGACTACACATAGATTTTTGTGAGACTGGAGGGGGGATAAAATGGCTGATCCTGGTGGATGCTAAGTCCAAGTGGCCGGAGGTAGCCAAAATGGGCACCACCACAGCCGAGAAAACGATAATGGTGCTGAAGGAGGTTTCAGCAGGAATGGGTTGCCGGAGCAGTTGGTTTCCGACAACGGACCCCCTTCACTTCGGCGGAATTTCGTGAATACTGCTGTAAAAGAGGTATTCAGCAGATATTCGCACCGCCGTACCATCCTAATTCAAATGGAGAAGCCGAGCGTTTCGTGCAAACTTTCAAAAACACCTTGTATAAAGGGTTACGATCTAACAAAAGCCTGGAGAATGCGGTATTGGATCTTCTGTTCGAGTACAGGGTCACACCCATGCAGCAACGGGACAGGCACCCGCGGAAATGCTGATGGGAAGGAATTTGAGGACGACTCTAGATATATTAAGGACAGGGAATATAGAGTCCTCAAATAGGTATAGGGAAGCTATGAAGAAGAATTATGATCGAGGGAAAAAGGAGAGAAAGTTCAGCGTGGGACAAGAAGTATTTATCCGGAACTACACCGGCTCAGGAGACCGGTGGATACCGGGTATCGTAGTCAAAGTTCTAGGCTCGAGCACTTATGAGGTTCATTTTGGCATGGGAGTAAGAAAAACCCATGCGGATCAAATGAAAGAAAGGGTGATCCCGTGGGAGTTAGTAGATGAGGGATGGTTAGCGAAGAGGGACCGGAGAGTCCCTGTACAAGCTGGAGAACCTACCGAAAGGATGACGCTTCGGCGATCTCAAAGGAAGCGGCAGGCTACCGCTAGGATGAAGGAGTTCCAGGAAAATGAGAAGCGCAGGAAGATAAATTGGATAAGAATGTTAAGGAATGAAGATGAAAATAAAAACGAAAATTATCACCGCGAGGTCTATAAAAGAAGGGAGGAGGAGTTTGGTTCTTCAGTTATGTTTGCGGTGCCAGCAGCAGCAGCAGCAGGGGGGGCGGGACAAGCCCCGCTCTATAATCCCCCCTGCATCGTCGTCCAGCCTTCCCCTGCCGTTCAACTGGGGACGCCAAGCTGGGCGGGGGGAGTCCCGGTGGTGGCCGCAATGGCCATGCAGCCGGGAGCTCCCTCTGCTCCATCATCGACGGGACGAAGACGCCGCCGCCCGCAGCGCGGTAAAGCGCTGTGGGCGGCAGTGCGGAACCTGCGACGAGACATGAAGATATACCGCCCACGCACAAGAAGCCGCTCAAGAAGCCGTACAAGAAGCCGCACGAGACGCCGCAGAAGCCGCTCAAGAAGCCGCTCAAGAAGCCGCACAAGAAGCCGCACGAGACGCCGCAGAAGCCGCACGAGAAGCCGCGCGAGAAGCCAGAGCCAACAGCGGCCCAGAGGGCCGCGAAGTCGTAGTAGGGCCTCGCGGCCCCCGTCGTCGTCCCCGGTGCACGGGGACGGCGGCCATGAGGAGATCTAGTTTTGAATAAAGGATTGAATTGATACAGTGTTGAATCGTATAAAGAGTTAACATGCGAGTAGGGCCGCCCCCTCAGGGACTTGGAGTGACCGAATGGTCACTAGGGGGAGGTGTAGGGGAGCGGTGTGGTATGTGCGAATGGAGAGAGTGAGAATGATAGGAAGGAGAGAGGATCGATAGTGATGAGGTACTGCCACTAGGCAGCGGGATTGTGTCGGTCGAGATAAATCATTCCTCTCCCTGTGTGGTCGTCGCATCGCAACTGGCAGGAATCCGCGATCGAAGATAACCTCGTATTCTTACTCTGTAGTGGAACGATCTGAAGAAAGTATGAAGGTGTACAATTAAGACTGAAGAACCAAATTATTATTTGAGATTGGCTCAGACACTGTTTCTCTGCTGTCTCAACTATCTTTGGTCCGATGGAGCGTGCATATGAGGACATCCAAGAAGCAGACGAACCGGAAAGGAAGTATGTGCGCTTGGAGCACGTCCCATTCCTTGACGCGAGGTTACGTACATTCGACGAATACCTCGCGGTATGCGATGCTCGAAACTTCGCGCACTACACGAGGCTGACGCCGTTAGAGTTTGGAAACATCTACGAGCGCCTCGCCGGTACCCTGCTTCACCCGGCTTCACACGCTTTCACCATGAGCGCGTCGTCGCGACTATTCATTTTTTTGAGGTAATGCTCAGGTTCTACATTCCATCCGTTTACCTGAGAAGTGACATCTAAATTTTAAGATTTGTTGGCCACGGATACGGGTTCGGTTCTCCTTGCTGAGGAAGCACACTGTGGAAAGTCGACAATCAGTCAGATTGTCTACGAAGTGGTGGATGCAATAGGGAAGGGTGAGAAATTTGACAAAGTAAAACTGGATTACGCTGCTCTAAATCAACCATCTACCAGTTTTCTTCGCGGAAGCCTTCCCACGATTCACAAGGGACGATCTCGAGGAAGTGGCCAGAAAAACCCAAGAGCGCTATGACTACCCACGCGCAGTAGGGTTTATGGACGGCAAACACATTAATATAAAGGTAGGAAACAATAGTATGGATGCCGTGAAGATATTGAGATTTAATGAAAGCATTGCAGAAGCCGGCTCACTCCGGCAGCACATATTTCAATTATAAAAAAAATTTCTCCATCATCTTACTTGCCCTGGTAGATTGCGACTACCGTATTCTAGCCTTCGAGTCTTTTGCAGTTTACACTTTTTGAGTTAACTTTTGGTATATTTTGATTTTTGAATCTTTTGCATCTCTTTTGGCATCTTTCAATTTTTGGAACTTTTGAACATACTAATAAAATCTTTTTTGACTGACGTCTTTTACACTACAAAAGTTATCACTTCAAACATTTGACGTGGTACATGTACAACACACCTTATCCATGCTATCCTTCTTCGATGATCCTTCGATAATCAGCGCCCAGAAGAGAAATGGAAGAATCACTGATTGAACCAGAAGAATAGTGTGTCCGCAGAATAACGATCTCACTTCCCTGCAGAAAACTTTCTGGTTTGTGATTATGCTAGAGAACGAAATGTTAGCATTGGGTCTAACAGCCAACGTGCAGTTATGCGGGATTACATTTTATATGCTAATAAGTGATTTCGATGAGTATGCTGATGTCATTCGCCACAAATAGAAATGTAAGTCAGTAGAAGTAACAGGGATGATATACAAACTTGATTCCTGTTCGTGAACCTATGAAGAAGTTTTGACAGCCATTGCAGGCAAGGCTCACCATCCGTTGTACAAGGCACAACGGGGTCGTATCTGACTGCCCAGAATTTTCTCTGCTTGGCTTATTCGTGATTCTCGCGCGTCATATATTCCTTACCATTATTTCGCTGTTCTGCAGTAATGATGTGGAAGCACATAGGCGCTTAAATCACTGGTAATTCAGATGGAGGCACCTAAATACCCTTCTCCTAATCTAGGCTTCGGCTTAGAGCGCGGACAACCATAGGTGCCCGAGAAATATCACAGGGAAGACAACTCTCGAGAGTCGTGCAAGTCTTCCGATAGATTAAGGTCACTGTCATCCCGCAAGCGGATAAGTGCAAGGAACACATAAGCACTGTTGAGTTCCGCTCATGCTTCACTTCCCCAAATGCGCGCAACATCTACTGTGCTGCTGTATATTACAATTCAAGGCGATCTAATTAAAATGAGAGAAGTGATGCCGCCATTTACGTCGATCTCCTTAATTCTTTCCCCCCCCCACAGTGGTTCAGTTCGAAACGCTCGCATTAATCTTCTCCCCTGCCACACCACACATTTTTCAGTTTGCGCGTAAGATGATGTGTATTGTGTGCACAAGTAAATGCCTCATCTCCACCGGGGCCATTCTTTCCCACAGCTGCGGCTGTGTGCCATTGCGTACCTCCCTCAAAAACACCCATGAGGCTACTGCACAGGAAGATTCTAGGACTGAAATACTCGTAGATGTCACTCTTCAATCATAATCACCAAAATTCATTAAGATGCTACGTCCTAACGAGTAATGGAACTAGGCGTGAGACTGTAGCTCCGCAGTGTACGCAATGGCACACATTCGCAGCTGTGGGAAAGAATGGCGCCCATTTCTACCTCGCCTGTCATGAAAGTATGGCGGATTTGGAAGCGCTTTTCCGCCTCAGAAATTTCGATGATCCCCATTACCATACTAACAGTCGCTCGTTGAGCGAACTATCCCCGCTTCTTTCTCCCAGCTTTTGTCAGTTTTTCCAAGCGTGGTAATTAGCCGTCGAGGCTTCATGATTGTTCCCTTCAATTGCTGTCTTGTTCCACCATTTCTCATCCAACGCTTTCGCAAGTTTCGTTATTTGGTTACAGTAGTGCATCACACCAATACCTTATGCTGTACACCCAATGCGTTTTGAAGAACTTAGTGAAACCAGTGAGATACCCTATTTGGATTGTGATAGCATTGGACGTCCCTTGAAGTTCCCTTTTTCAAACTTCCGGGCGTGAGAAGAATTTTAGTTGATCTTCCTCAATTGCGACTCTGTCACTACAAGTTATTAATCATTACTGAGTGGTTGCAGTAATCAGTGATACAATCAGAATATATTGCAATCGATGAACAAATCCGAACAAAGTACAACATAAGTATTAAAAATGAACGTGATGTCAGAAAAATTTAAAGCTGACCTGAGTATATGCGTCCTTTTTGAATAGTGCGCTCAATGCGAGTTTGCCGCTGGACCTGAAACAAATCAAATGGATTGCAAAAAAAACGATATAAAATGGATTGCGAATGATAGATAAGGAGACCAACGACAGGGAGTTGACATATAGGTGACAGGTGGATGTATATGAAGTAAATATGCTTATATACTAGGATGCCACGTCATAAGCCACGTCATGCTATTTTTCTCGAAAAACAGCAAGGATAGAATGGATTGAAGATAAATTGAGATGATTAAGGAAATAGGAAAAGGAAAGAAAAAAATAAAGGGGAGAAGTATTCTCAAAATGCAAAAAATGGCCCTACAGCCACTTCCGTCGGTTTCGTCGGATCGATACGTATCTATTCTTCTCGAAGTTGTCGTCGGTTACGCAACTTACGCAGCTTACGCAACTTACGCAGCTTACGCAACTTACGCAACTTACGCAACTTACGCAGCTTACGAACTTACGCAACTTACGCAGCTTTCTTTGGATCGATACGTATGTGTTCTTCACAAACTAGTCGCAACTTACGCAGCTTACGCAACTTACGCAACTTACGCAACTTACGCAGCTTTCGTCGGATCGATACGTATGTATTCTTCACGAACTAGTCGCAGCTTACGCAACTTACGCAACTTTCGCAAAAGTCGTCGCACGGTATGAACGCGGCCTAATGCCGTTTGGACTCCAGCAACTTCGGTAATCGTAGTGTCATCCTTGGCGCTGGCGCCAAGGGATGACACTACGATTACCTCTTGGGCTCAGCCTTAGCGGAGCGCAGGTAATCGTAGTGTCATCCATTAGCGCCAGCGGCAAGAGTGAATGTCATATTCGTAATCAGGATGTTAAACTACCCCTACATACAAGTTTTTAGCGGATTTGGTAACTTAGGCAATTTAAAAATGAGCTCGGTGCCGAAGTTGCTGGAGTCCAAACGGCATTAGCCAGCAACCAAGTGGAACCGTTGATTCAGGAAAGTTCACAAGTTAAAAAGTAAATAATGGACCGAAACGTCCCTTGTAAAACGAGGTGACAACTGTCATGCCCTACACCAGACTATTGCTGAAGGGATATTTAGTCCCCCTGTTCCACTTTTACTCGTTTCACCATTTTCACTGCTCTTGTTGTCTACTCCGCTGACAATGAGAGTGTATGTATGTATGTTTGTTGTTGCTGTCGATGAGGATATCTCAAGGGGGAATGAGCTTGGCGCCAGCCCGTTTCTTCTTTTTTTTTTGCTCCCGGCAACGGTAAGGGGATCCTAAAGGAAAGAACTGGAAACCCATGAAGAGCTATACAGCTACAATGAGAACGCGGTTCGAAGCGATAGGGTGTCGCGTCCTCGTGAGTTTGTCGGGGTATGTGACAACACAATCCTAATGACGTGACAATCGACGCCGCGCACACGACAGACGAGTTGTCCTGCTCGGCTGTTTGAGTTTGGATGCTGAAGAAACAGGAAAGATTGAATTGACATAAGCTGCTCCAGTCGACACTAATTTACACCGAGAAGCGCTGTACCTCGTCGCACGGTGCGCCGCGCGCTACAGCGCGGCAAATTACGGTTGCCACATCATTGGTTGGAGACTTTGGTTAAGTCTGTACGACCCTCCCTTTTTTGGGGGATTGGTACGACCTCCTCCCTCCGCCCTCTGTCCCTCCTCATCGAATCGAGCCGTCGAGCGGGGAGGGGGGGGGCATATAGTACGCATGAAACAGGAAAATCACCAAAAGTCAACCACCACTCCTA